TGCTACAAAATAAAACTTAAATAAACTTCCAAAAAAATATCCAGGATCATTTTGAGGTCAAATCATCTAAAATTAAAAAATTGAAGTCTCAACATCCCTACAGACACAAAATTGGCGTAAGAATAATACAACACTACTAAAAACAGTAAAGCACGCAGTTTGAGAGTTTTAAATTTCCCAGGTAACCCTCGATCGTACCAACGTCATTAGTAAGACGTACAAGAAATATTTTGCGTTATATAGATAACCCTCAGCTCGCTCTGCAATAGGATATTTTTTTTGTTTGTTTTAGTGGTCATGACGTCACAGCACCCCTATAAGTCCGCCATTTCACTATTTTCTCAGTCTTGGCTTCACTAAAAAAAGCCCGTCAGCACAGGTCCGCCAACTTATAATAAAAACAGTTGAGAACTGTGCTGTTCAGCTCACCGGTCAGTGACAATGGATCATACAACTTACCTTCTCAAACTCCTTTTTTTTATTTGCTCGAACAATTACAACAATTACAATTAAACTTACACTACAGTTACAAAAAAATAGTCTACGGAGTACGTTTCTACGCATTACAGTCTACACATTGCATACAACCAACTTACAGTATGTTGCTTACAGAAAAAAAGTACTTTAACTAACAGCTTTGGGTCAACACTTAGGACAGTGTTTGAACACATTTCCAAACACCTCGAGTTTCATCAAAAATTCTCCACTTCGCGTCGTTTTTTCAACTCTTTTCTCGGTGTTTGGAAATGTGATCAAACACTGGCTTTTAGACCAAGAGCCGCCGGTGTTCACTCATTGTCCAAGCGAAATCGTAAAAGATTATGCCATAACTCCTGAAATCTGCGTTGTCTGGAAGTTTCCATTGAGTTACTCTAACAGAGTCGATAAAAGTGCCGTATTTTGTCACTGACTTGTATATTTTAGCAAGACGTTTCGGCTAACTCTTAAGCCTTCATCAGTTGAAAAAACCGCTTGGTTACGCGCGATTTAAAAACTGTTTAAAATTGAAACGTTGCGCGTGCTGTATACGCGTGACATCAAGAGAATTTTAAGTGCGTGCTAAGCACTTTTAGTATCACCCAACTAGTGGACTAATGCAAATCCTGCATTTTGATTGGTTACGCTACTAGGGGACTGTTAGTAATAGTCATCGAGTAGCGAAATTGGCGTCATCGAGCGTGACGCTTTCTTTCGTTTTATTCCCAAA